CTGTGACTTAGGCTATGATGTTTGGTCCCTTTGTTTTGGCTGCTCATACTTTGGAGCACCTCAGAGCAGGAGAAATTCTGATCTGCTGTCATATATGCATATTCACCCACCCCTTAAAACACGTGGGCCTGAATTGCAATAATTTCTCTTAGTATGTACATCATCTGCCTGCATTTTTTTTTTTTTTTTTTTTACTTTACAGTTGAGGAACTATGCCTATGCAGAGCAAGAAATAGGCTGAAGGCAATGATGGGTGAGTAGCAACAGCTGTATTTGAACATGTAATGAAACATTAATCAATACAATTTCAGAGTAATTGGCAAACCAGCATGGCTGTTTGAGTGGGAACAGGGTGTTAACATACTGCAAAGACATTCTTCAAGTGAAATACACTCAAACATACTGCTGTAACATACTTTGTACACAGGACTTGAGAGAATTCCCCATACTACTTGTACCCATTGAAATAAATGTAACCAATTACCTAATGATCGTATTATTTCATCTTTTACTATTAAGAACTGTCTATTAAAATCAAAGGAAACATCCAATTGAACAATTTGCTGTTGGTAGTTGTCAGCCTTTAAGTCGCACTGCCAAATTATCTGACAAAGCTCAGCACAGCTTGATATACCTTTCAGTTTTGGGAAATAATATTAACACAAGTCGGAGTAAGTGAAAACAGACAGTATTTGAAATACATAGGACTTCTGTTCCTTGAAACAAATTCCAGGAGAAAACTCCAGACTATTACAGCCTTGTAAACTTGCCAGCTTCTTCTTTCAGGCTGCATCAGAGATTGTACTATGTTATGAAACTTTATGAAATTGTTCTAAGACATGCTTACAGCTGCAGAGAACTACCACAAAATGGGGCTAACCTCTGGTAACATTCAAGTACAAAGGGTTTTCCCCCTTCCCCCCCCCCCTTTTTTGTTTCTTTAAAAAAAAAAAAAAAAAACCCAAAAACCAAAACACCCAGCAACAACCCAAACCACACCTTTTCATGTAATAGTACTACTGGGAGTGAAGGATTCGCGCTTAGATCAAAACAGATATACTTAAGATATAAAACCAAAGGAATTTAAATACACAATTTTCTGATAGTACCTTCCACCACACCAGCATGTATATTAGCTCACTCCTCAGCTATGCTTAGGAGATTCTTATCAACAAGAGGGCAAACATCAAAGACAAAAAACCTACAGAGGATGCAGAAAAGTAGATTTACTTCTCATCAATATCAGAGATTTGTTCTGACTGTCATTATGAAGCAGACAATACGTCAATAAATCTCTTAAAGAAGACAGCAGAAGATGATGCATCTAAGTTGTAATTACTACTAACTTGTAATTACTTGTAACTGGTATATTAACCATGCCAAGTGCAAGGTCCCACACCTGGGTCGGAGCAATCCCAGGCACAGCTAAAGGCTGGGCAGAGAAGAGATTCAGAGCAGCCCTGTAGAGAAGGACTTGGGGGTGTTGACTGATGAGAAAATGAACATGAGCTGGCTTCAGTGTGTGCTCGCACCCCAGAAAGCCAACCGTATCCTGGACTGCATCAAAAGGAATGTGATCAGCAGGTCAAAGGAGGTGATCCTGCCCCTCTACTCTGCTCTCGTGAGACCTCACTTGGAGTATTGTGTGCAGTTCTGGTGTCCTCAAGATCAAAAGTACATGGAATAGTTGGAACAAGTCCAGCGGAGGGCCATGAGAATGATCAGGGGACTGGAGCACCTCCCATATAAAGATAGGCCGAGAGGGTTGGGGCTGTTCAGCCTGGAGAAAAGAAGGCTGCATGGAGACCTCATAGCAGCCTTCCAGTATCTGAATGGGGCCTGCAAGGGTGCTGGGGATGGACTCTTCCTTAGGGACTGTAGTGATAGGACAAGGGGCAATGGGTTAAAACTTAAACAGGGGAAGTTGAGGTTGGATATAAGGAGGAAATTCTTTACTGTAAGGGTGGTGAGGCACTGGAATGGGTTGCTCAGGGAGGTTGTGAATGCTCCATCCCTGGCGGTGTTCAGGTTGGACAGAGCCTTGTGTGACATGGTGGTGGAGAGAGCCTCATGTGACATGGTTTAGTGTGAGGTGTCCTGCCCATGGCAGGGGGGTTGGAACTAGATGATCTGAAGGTCCTTTGCAACCGTAACTATTCTATGATTCTATGATTCTACTAAATTGTTAGCCTGCTAGTAGTGTGAGACAACTGGAGCAACTTTTTACCACAAGAGTACTCTGTTGGATTATTATAACAGTGTCAAAATTTGGAGCAAATTCTACTTGGAATTCACTTAGGTTTGATTTTTAGCTTGTTTAACAAGTAATCACAAAGTTAATCTTTCCCTTGTGAACACATCACAGCCAGTAAATAAATTCTTTAAGAATATTTACTTTTGACAATCGGCTACAAAAATCCTGTACCAAATGTCTAATCGAGTTTCCAAAAAAAAGACTTCTCTAGGTAAGAAAAGCAAAGGCTTTTGTCCAAGTCCAAATCCATTTATGTAGTAAAATTCACATGGAACAGCTCAGACCACAGCTCTGCTTTGAAAACCGGTAACAAAAAAATGCTTTTGCACAAACTCAGCTGAAAGTTGAAAAATTGTGCACAAGTGCAAAAATAGATATGATCTGCTACTGAGGTTTAAGTTTATTATGCTGAAAAGTTTTGACTCAGTCAGTTTGAACCCACAGATTCAGAGTCAGAAGAGCTAAACCAAGAACAGCCAGAAACTGTTGGCATGTTCAAGGTAGAACTGTAATCACTGTGCACTTAACTGCAAAATATGCGATAGGAAGACTCCATCTGCTAGGAACAATACCTATTTGTCTTTGCTGAAAAGGACAACCTAGAAAAGGTTTCAAAGCCCTTTTAATAGTCTTATGACCCACCTCTTTCTCCAAATGCATGATATACAAAAGAATCTTTTTTGGAAGCATGTTGTACAGACTTCAATGTTTGAAAATTTATTGCCTTTTTTTTTTTTTTAATAGCCTGTGAATTTAGGAACATATAAAACACATTTGTAGCTTATTTAAGTTGATTATTTTCCTCAAAGTCTTAAGTAGCCAATTTGATATCTAGTCAATCCCCACGGTTTTTCTGTTTGAAAAGCATACTTCTATTAAAGTAGATTAAAATACATTCAATGGCTCAGATCACAATCAGCACTATTCTACTTGGCAATTAAAAACAATTTTTCTGAGTTTTCTTTTTAACTTCTCCCAGCTTTTCAAAATTAAAAATCTAGAGAAAAAAAAAAAAAAATCACACTTAGCAATCTTCTCCCTTATCCTACTAGATACTAAATGAGAAATTCCATCAACTGGGATTAATTCTTAAGTATTTTACAATCTGTGCAAAAACTACATCAGTAAGGACCACATAAAAGGCTGAAGAAAACTACTGAAATTCAATGAGCTCTTTAATAAAAGTAATACTATATTAGCATTTGTTTCATACATGCACTAAATATTAACTATTCACACATGCATTTACCTGGCATTTGGGTTACTTGAATTCCCTCTTCTGTGAGCCCAAACAAAGCTAACATAATAGCCCCTTTGATATTAAGGCTGAGGTAAGCAGATTTTTTTGCAAGAAAAACACCAAACAGGTTGAGATTTTCAAGACAAACCTAGGAATTTAGACACATTTTTCATTCATTTACTGGAGCCTGAATATCAAAATCATTATAGACTACTAAACCAAAAACATCTTGAGCACTTTGTACCTTCATGCTCCTGTTTTTCTTGTTAAGAAGCTAAGAGATGGCTAAATAATATTTTGCAAGTGAAAGGAGAAAAAGCAAGCTTAGATTTGTTAACCACAGCTGTTTTTACAAGTGAGTTTTGCTCCCGATAACTGCATTTTGCAGGGGTCATGGTGGTGTCATGTCAGGGTTTTTGACAAGGGGGGAAGATGGGGAGGTTTTAGAAACATTCTGAATTTTGAGCAAGAAGTCAAGAAGCCAACCTGGTGTTTCAGCTGGTCCCACAGCACTTCACACTGTGTTGTGGAACAAAGAGATGTTAAACCTCCTGCAGCAATTTTACAGCACATTTCTAGCACATTTCTGCAGTAGCTCCAACTCAGTAAAGTTTTTGTGGTGTCTCAGAATAGAACACCTTATTTGGTTTGGGATACACATTCACTAAACATGGGAGTTACCTATACGCCAAGAGAGACCAGATTCCGATATGCCTACTCATTTCAGAAACAGCAGCAAACTCTGAGACTTCTTGAGAAATAAGGCACTACTTATCGGTTTTCAATTTGAAAATCCAGTTAACAGATTTTACTATAAGCCCCATACAGCCAACCTTTTGAAAATACAGAAATGTGAAGGATCGTGTTAACTGGTATACAAGTTGCTGACACACCTGAAAGCAATACCTATACATTTCTTGGGGAGCAACAATGGCAAAGACAAAGACAATACAACTAAGTACTTCTATTGGTCTTAATATAATATTTTCTAAATACCCTATCTGTCCAGCTCACAGGTCTGTGCCTGAACACTAATCTGAATCTTGAAACTGCACATGAACAAAGAATGAGACAGCACCATGCTATTATTCTGCCTATCAAGAAATTAAACATTATTCCACTATGCCCCAATGCCCTGCATTTCCATATACTAACAGCATATCTTGTGACAAAGAAATCCGTCAGAAAGCAATCCAAACTTCATGGGACCTGAAAGGAGTATTCTGAGAGGACAGTAAGCTTCAGATAAATGATTGAAATCTAACTCTTTTCTAATGTAAAGAGCTTAAAAGTTGTAAGTTAAACAAAAAGAAAACTCAAACTACTGTTTTGTTTTTATAACAGTATAAAGAAAAAAATACAAGACAGTATTCAACTTTGAAAAGCTATCAAAATTGATGGGAACCCCCCCAAATATCATTTGTACACTAAGACTTGTCAAATAAAACGCAATGCCAAATTCCTAGATGTCAAATACATATATGTAGAAGAAAAATATATCCTTGCCTTTTTGTTCTTTAACATAGCTCTCCTTACAGTTGTGCATGAGCTGCAGAATCCACTGATGTTGAGCACCAATGCACTGCCAAGCAGGGTCCCCAGGCGCGTGAAGATCAGAAAGATATCTGTAAAACAGAGTCCAAAAATCACAGCTCTGACTTGACACACTGAAGGCCGCATTAAAACAGAGCAAAAATGTACTAAGAAATGTTTTTTTTAATATAGATATATAAAAAAAATTTCAAGAATAGTTAAGATACACTCATACCCAACAAGCACAAGCTTTGCATTCTCCCTTCATCCTTTAGTGAGGTAAAATTTTATCTAAAAACCTTAGAGAAATAAACAAAACCATATATATTTAATTATTATATTAATATGCATTTTCAGTTGTGCCTCAAATACTTGGGAAATCAAGCTCTTTATCTGCCATGGCTGCAGCACAGTACTTCATGTCGTCACTGATTCCAAGTTAAACATCTCAAGCACATAAAACATGGTATTTTTCTTCCCATTTTACTTGTCCTGATTGTATCATCATGTAACCTTAACAAGTACAGTAGAAATTACTTTTTGGCAGCTCATTAATTTTAGCACACACATATATAAACAATGTAAACCAAGCTCCTTGACTGTGGTGGAGGCTTTTTTTTTGTTGTTGTTGTTGGTGTTTTGGGGGGTTTGGGGTTTTTTTTTAATTTCTTTGTGGGGGGCAGAGTATAGTACAGTTGTGGTTTTGTTGTTTGGCTGTTGTTTTGGTTTGGTTTTTTTTGTTGGGTTTTTTTTGCTTTTTTGGGGGGGTGTTGTTTTTTTGGGTTTGTTTTTTTTTTTTTTAGGGGTGAGATTTATTTTTTTTGCTCATTCTATGATGTGCACACAAAGTCCAGAGAAAAAAAGAATGGGGAGAGATAATGAAAAGCAGTGGGGCTTCTAAGATACAGAAACAAATCATGCTCTGATTTTTGGGGAGAGAGAAGTATTAGAGTCATCTCCTGCAATTTCAATGAGAAAACAAAAGTAACAAAGTCAAACGTATGGCATTCAAGACAATTTGACAACAGTACTTTCAAAAGAGTATTTTCAAAAAGCAGTAGCTGCTTTATTATTTAATGCACTCCACATTCTGCATTAGTGACTCAGATCAGGTTAAAAAATTCAAGATGCTCAAAGTGAAGTACAATGATTTATTATCTTAAGCAGTGCAGAGAATGTTTAAGTCCTTCACAAAAGCTGAATTACTACAATAATGCCTACTGTTAATTAAGACTGTACTGCAAAATCCTGCCTTCTTTAACAACTGCCTGCAGTACTTGAACAAAAATAAACTGTCAAAGTAGGATTGGCTGGATGGATGAGAACATTACATGACCAACCATTTTGACAGGGTGACATTTATAAATTATGAGCTCAAGGCTTTCCTTAGTGTTAAGGGGGCCTTCAGTCTTTGCTTAGACAAAATAAAAAAAATTACCACTGACCTTTGAAAAAAATACATCTACGTGGTTGTTAAGTGATATGGTAAACTGTTTCTGAAAAGTATAAAATAATTAGCACTGTAAATACCATAATAAAATGGGAAGAAAATAAGAACTGAAGCCTAATTATAAAGATCAACATTGAATATCTGAGGGGGAAAACCACAGTATCTCAAGTCTTGCTCAGCCTTGACATTGGAGACACACAAAACAAACATATCTAGGAAGAAAAAGTCTCTTAAAAATGCAAACAATTGTACAATTAGGATTTTGTTAATTTCCTCTTAACTTTCTTCACAGCACTTCAGCTTTCTTCACACCTTTCCGCCAGAAAATGTCCATTAGTACAACCACATCAGCATATCTAGAGTAGTGGAACTAATTTAATTGCTTTGTATGCTGGGATTCTCCTAATTTATTAGAACTAAATTGTTTCACATTTGTCCACTGTCTGCTCTCCTGCATTATACTGCTCTACGTGTGGTAGTTACATCAACACAGTCTGCTTTAAGATAGGCTGGGATACTTTTTAAAGACTCAATACTTCAAGGCAAGGGTCTAGAGAAAACTAAAAAGAAATAAAAAAAAAAAAAACCCAAACCAACACAAAACCCACCAAAAAAGTCTAAAAAAGAAAGAAAAAAAAAACCCAATAGAATCAACTGTTTATACAACTCTGATTCTTAGAATTCTTCTAAGAATCCTCAGAAGAGGTCTTAGTGGCTTAGATAAAGAAGCTGCTTAGAGAGCAGCAGAGTTTCCAAGACTGACACAGAAAGGAAACGGTAGTGTCTTTTTCAGAGACACAAAATGCTTAACTACCTTAAAAGACAGTTCCAATAAATAGGCAATATTTATATACCACTCAGAAGAATGAGAAGTGCTCCACATAAATTATACTGACAACAATGACCAGTGTACAACTAGCATTACATAAAGGGACCTAAGATACCTATTCTTTACTTGGTCCAGTGTGACCAGGCCTCGTGAGCATACAGAACAAAGACTTCGTGCAGGTGTCAATTTTTAGAATGCTTTTCACATAGCCTGTTTGGTCTGTGTCTTCTGAAATAACTGAAAAGAGCTCTAAGGATGTCAAGCCACACTAGGACACCATGTAACATCCAAAACTCAAATGCTTTTTAAGTAAAGCCATCAAATATTCTAGCGCACTTTAAAATTCGCCTCCAAAGGCTGTAAACAAGGTTAAGGTCTCCCAATAAAAGATCCAACCCACTCATGTCAGTATGCCTACAACAAGCTTCAACATCACCTTTCTGAATAACAGAAAAGCTAAGAATTTCTATACTTATTTAGACTGAGTAGTAAAAGAGCCAAAACCAAATTTAAGTGACAGTTTGGATTAAAAGCTGCCTATTATCTCACTCAGGATGATTCAATGTCAACACCAAATCAAGCTGAAGTGTAAAACAAGTTAATAAGGAATTTATTTTGTGATCTGCAGCCTATGAACAATCACTTCAGACACAGCTTGCAACATGATGGTTTTAGAGGAAGTAAGAGAATTGAAACATGCATTTAAGATTTAAAAAAATTAAATTCAAATTTCAATTACCCTTCATGAAATTGCTCTAATCCAAGAACTGCTTTTCAGTCATTCAATAAACAATCAAGTACCAATCCACTGCCATTATTTACATAATCATGAAATCTTGAAGTACTCCAAGTACAGCTTTAAAATTAGTATTTAAGCCATAGTAAAAACAGTCAATACCCTACTTAGGAAAGATTCAAATACATATCTAACACTATGCTTGACAAAGACACTAGTCAAATGCTTACCTTATATAACGTTTCTGATCATGCAATGTTGATGGAGTTTCAAGCAGCTTATCCAACAGAAGTTCTCTTAAAGCTTCAATTCTAGTTTCAACTTCAGCATAATCTAGGAATAGGGAGAGGAAATAAATCCAATGTGTGCCTTCAGATGTGGTATGAACTGAAAATTATGTTATTTTTCTAGGATATCAGACACTTTAGAGTTAATGTGTAAATAAATATAACTAATTTCATAACAAGGCACATCAGAAAAATCTGTATATGACAGTGCTACAAAAATATAAAATTGGACTTTGAAGTCTTTCCAATGATATGCCAGTGAGATACCCAAAGTCACATTTTAGATACTGTAACCTTTTTTATGCCCAGTAATACCAAGCCTTAATAAATAAATAAAATTGGCTGCGATTTCACATTTTGTAATATAAACCCCACCCAGAAAACTTGACAGAAACACTCTTTAGAGTAATTGGTTCTTACAAATCTGTATTTGTATGTATTAAAAAGTATATGAACCCACGTAAACCTCTTTAAACTACTATGTGCTTTTTAGCCTTTGGGGGGGGGGGAAGCAGGCAAATAACAGAACCCATATCTTACATTTTTTGAATACTTGAACCTCTGTCTTTCCAAACAGTGACTTGGCTTTTTCATAGTCATTAATAACCACATCATAATCACCCTTAAAAGAAAACAAAAAGAAACAAAACCACACATAAACAACTAACATTCATATCTGTCAAGAAAAGGGTAACAGTAATTTCAGCAACAGAAAAGTATTTTTAAAGGATTATACCTTCTGGATATTTCTTTCAATATTCAAGGGAAGGTTGAAAAGAAATTTAAAACGCTGAAGAACATTAAGAGCGTTTCTTGTTGAATCAGCTTTGTCCTTGCGACCCAGCACTTCTTGGAATAAGGTATCTGCTGTATTACTGGCTCCTATTTTAAAAAGGATGAAAATAAAAAGTAGAGTAATTGGTTTCAATGACATACAGATTTTCCTCATTTTAATGAGTCATTCAAGATTTTTCAGAGCATATGAGTAATTATTGCTCAATTTTTATACTTTTTTGTTCAACTCTGTTAACATTTTACAACTGATGAAATACTATTTCACAGCGAACCACTTAGCATTTTAATGTGGTAAGACCCCTGCACAATTAAAAACAATCGCTCTTTCCTATTTCAAATGCTTAACTTTGCTGCAGATATTTTATAGTTTGCTTTGGCTCCAGATCTACATTTTACAACTAAATTATGCATCTCAGGATATGGAAAAAGTCATAGAAAGTTTTCTTTGTAGAAAAGTATAATTTCATTATGATAATTAATGTCATTAGCTTTAGAAGTTATCACCAGGTTTTGCAAACATTTTTTGGGGAGTTTTCAAATTATGTCTTAAAAATTATTAACAATATTTGATATTTTAAATTAGTAATTAAGTCAAGACAATGGCATGACTGAAAAGAATTCCAACTAAGCTGTTCACTGTAACAGAATAAATAAAAATTGTCTTCAAATTGTATTGAAAGTCTTACTGGCTTCATTGCACACAGGATCCAACCTTTGTCAACACTCTCGTGCAATTAAGTTTCTGTGTTATCTGTGAATTTATCTTTAACAAATACATTGAATATAGCCTTAAAACCTTTCTTATCCAGTCTAAAAGGCATTCTAATTTGTAGTAAGGATTATATCCTAACACAGAATAATAGAATTTAATTAATACTAGGGCAAATTTACATTGCATGGAATATTTTCATTTTTCAACCCGTGACATATTTTTAATTAACTAAAAAAAAAAAAAAAAAAAAAGAAGTGGAACTGTTTTAGCTATTTTGATCACTGTATGCAGAAGTTTCTACATTATCTGGTCTAGTGACTATACTTTAAGCAAAGATGAAAAAAAATTACATCAGTCTCACTGGGTGGCTTGCATGCCATTTTCTCTAGTCAACACTGTGGGTGGCCTGCTCATGTTAAAAGTAGTCTTTGTAAAATAATTGTTATATCTAAATAATGTTTAAACTTTGTTGAAATTTTGAAGCCTTGATGTAAAAAAAGTTTTGTCAGGATAGCTATTTCTACCGCATGGTATTTAGCCTAGAATACTTTAATCCATTAAGAAGAAATGCACAAAGAAAACAGTTAGTTGGACATTTACATACAGACCACTTGATAAAGTATGATTTTTCTCTTGAGATTATAGTAAATGCTTGTTTTGTAAATCCTTCTACTAACATTTGTTTGAATTCATACGGATTTTGTCCATTCTTTTAACAGCCAAGAACCAATGTACTATATCTGAGAATTAAAGTTACAGTCACAAAGCAATTTCTTAATTCAATGCAAATGTTTTTAAAAGTTAATTGGCAACTGCAGGAGTATCACAGTGACTTCCATGTTTAGTTCAGAACTACATGCCTTCATCTCTTTACAAATTAACTTGTTTTACAAATCCTCAAGTAAATGATTTTTTCTTCTCTTCTCTGCACACTTTTTCTGTTTTACACAGAAATTGAAATCTATTGTATTATTTATTACCATATTAATGAAATTCAATATGTCATGCAAAATGGTCTGATTTTTAGGCTTAAAGGAAAAATGTAAAACTTCTTTTCTCCTCCCTCCTCCAAATCCTTTCTATATCAACAATCTCTATCTCTTGATTACTGATTAATAATCTAAACTGAAATAATCAATGGATAACGATTTGGGTCCTATATTGACTAACTATGTTTTCAAAATAGACGATTCATCTACTGTGTGCAAATTCTCTGATTTCAAAATAAAGCTCTAGTTATCCAATAGTTGTTTTTCATTGAGCCTGACAATAACACCACGTCATAGAATTCAACTGACCTCCTTTAAGATACAGCTCTTCATGAAGTTCATTATAGCACACCATATATTTTTACAAATGTATATTTAATAGTCTATTTAGCAATTAAATTTAGCAATTTAGCAAAAACTCTAGGCATTTATAATTCCACTTATAACACCAGATTTTGATTCTACTAAGCCATGCCATTTCAGTACAATAATTTAGCGCACACTTTATGTACATTCAGATGTTATGGAAAACATTCTTTGGAGCTTGCAATCAAGCTCACAACACCAATTGTGCCTCAAAATATGTACCTATAGGACTAAAGATTTGAAGTAACTTTTGAAAGCAGGTCCTGTTACTCCTGGATTATTGAAGCTTTCTGTGGTCAAACTAGAAACAAAGCTTTGATCCTAAACTACTCTGCATAATATTATTTACTCTTTTAAAATCCTTGTATTCCTACTTCCCTGCCTCCCACCCATCATGACTTGCAAAGTATCAGGAAGAAAAGAAGTCGACTCTTTTCACAGCAGAGCCAAACTTAATACCACTCTGAAGTGCCTGGCACAAGTTAGTCTACAGATCCAGCTTGAAAAAGACAGTTGGCATTATCTGCACACATGCTTCAGCTACCACTTACCAAATGAAACAATAATTACATACTACAGGTAGATTTGTCTCATATTAGTGTGTGTACAAAAATGTCACAGATGTAAATTTCTGCTTTTTTATTTAAAGCTATCACACAATTTTGTCAAAGGGAAAGTGCTCTTCGAGGAATGTGTGCCTGCTGCGCGACATGGCATAAATACAGAGCACAAAGCAGTGACAACTGCACTGGCAATTTGGCAAATGCTTTTTTCTCCTGTCCTATAGGTATCACGTATTCTGCACATACAGACACACACTATAGTTTTTATATAGTGCAAGTGTGGTTTTTTGTAGGTTTTTTTTTGGTTGGGGTTTTTTGGTGATTTTCGGTTGGGAGGTGGGGTGTGTGTGTGTGTGTGTGTGTGTGTGTGTTTGTTTTGCATTCCAGGCAACAAGATAAGGAATAACACTGTTCAAATTATACCTTGATCGTAAGCATTAATGAATCTCGACAGAAAAGAGCCAGAGATGTTCACAAAACCCCCTGCTTTCTTTGTGCTCCCCACACAAACACACATACAGTCACTTTCTTCTCTTGTATGAAGAAAACAAACAGTGAACTTCCATGTCACTTTCTTGATTTCATAAAACACACTCAGACTTCCAACACTGAGTCAGCTATCTGCATGTCATTCCTGCTTATTGATACAGCACTAAGGGAAACATCCCTTCCTCTGTGAAAAAAATCACAATGAAACAAAGTAAAATTATCTTGGCAGAAATCCCAGAATTAAAAAAGGAACTTTTTTGATCTGATGAAACACATACCAAACTGCAGTAAATTCAAGCCATCTCTCTGAATGCAACCTTACAGCCAATGCAGAGAAACATAAAAGAAAGTACTGAAAGCTTTTCAAAATTTCTAAAAGGAAGGCTAAATAGTCTAAATGGCAGCATATTAAGTGAAAACGATTCTGTTAATAGACCCTGTTATTGCAAACAACCTGTATTTTTTTTTCCACTTTTGCTCAAACTTCTTTAAGTTTGGTATTTAGCTTTCCTCATCCTTCTACATTTCTGTCCATATACCTCCTCTGTATTCTTTACCTACTCAAAATTAACATGCCACCAAAATTCATTTAAAGTAAATGCTTTAGAACATCTCTTTATTTTGATATTTATTATTTTTGTTAACAGAAAGACAGATGAAAGTCATGGCAAAACCTGCTACTTACTTCAAAAAGGTATACCATCACACCCTAAAACTACTACCATCAAATAGAAAAGTCAGGAGAGATTGTACTGTTTTCTACTGTATTCCTAGGAATATATTAAAGCTTGTTAGAAAGACCAAAGTCCATAAATAGTTGTTGCTGGAAAGACAAAACTCACTGTTCAGTACATTCTCCAGTTTTTGCGTCATGGATCCTTCTACTTTTTCCGTTCCATCCGCTTCCAGTTTCTGATGAATTGCTGGAATAAAGTGTCTAGTTAAAATGCAGAACTTTTTAATAGGTGGGAATACATTATATCAAAGTGACTCTTCTAAACATTTTTAAAATTAAAGTATTATTTTTCTTGTTAGCCATAAAAAAAATACAAACACACTTCATGGCAGCAGAGTCTAGTGAACAACAGGGCTTAGAGCCAGACACTGCAGATTTTTAACCATTACTTTGACACAGACTTCCTGTATCTTGCTGAACAAGACAGTAATGCTCAAGGAAAAAAAAACAACAACAACAAACCAAACAACAACCAAGCAAACAAAAAAAAAACCCAAAACAACCACCAACAAAAAAACCCAAACACACAAACATGGAAATAATCCCAATTGTCTTGTAATACAAGTGTGAATTTAATTCAATATTTTGAAAAGTAAGTATAATATAAGTACAAAATATTTTTGCTTTGTAAGACCAAATTTTTACAGTGATCTCAGCAAAAATGAACCACCACTAATTTACAGGTAAAAAGTCACAGAGAATTTGGATAACTGCAAAAACTAAGTGTTAGAACACACCTCTACTAGTTGTTTTCCTATGTAAAAACTCATTCTCAAACCAGACACATTAAGAGTATAGCACAGAAATACACTGCATTAAGCATTACACAGAAGCATTGTGATGCTTTTGCTCAAAACAGTATGAAAACAGAGGAGTTTGCCTTTTTTCTCTTTTTTAATGATTTTATTTTTTTTCCCTGTGTTAGAATACCAAAAGCCCCAAGACTTGTTTCCACATGACAGTACTAACGGATATGGAAATGCATAGTATTAGAATTAATTTGTTTGTTTTACAATAATTTCTTTTTCAGGGAGAGACTTACCAGTGACTACATTATACCTCTCTGGAAATATGAACAGTGAATAGAGTGTAGATACTCATTTCTTTTCTTCTTGCTTACCCTCTCTTACACAGCATTCATTCCCTCCTCTGTTCAGTGCGAGTGGCACAGACAGTTTCCATTTCGTTTTGGATTTTTTTTTTAAGGTAGTACCCCTGTATATATGCATAAAGCGTATATAAAGCAAATACTCCAAAATATTATTTTCCTTTCAAATTTTAAATTTTTATATTATGTAAAATCAGCTCTATAAAACAGCCATCAGCTCCTGTTGCTTTAACAGCAACTTGAGTCCCTCAACTGGATTCTTTTAAGATGATATAAAACTAAAAGATGAACTTCATGAGTGTACCTAATTTGCTCCAGGAGATACCTGGAATTCAATCCACTTAAGATAGTTTAAAATACCACCCCAAACTGCATATAATGTGCACACAGAGATGTCATCGCCAACTGGTTTCCTCTACAATACCCATGCTCTGTAGCTGCAAATTAAGAAAAAGCAAACAAGGACAAGACAGACATCAGTCATACTGTAGGCAGTGGCTATTCTGAAACAGTGGCCCTTGACAGTCTCCTGACTCCTTCAAAGGAAGAATTTTCATTTGGATGGAGGTGTGTGTATGTGTGGGGGTGTGTGAGATTTTAAAAAACAAAACAAAACAAATAAAATTCCATTATTCTCAAACATGTAAATTTGAGCCTTCAATCCCTTGATCCTACACAAAGAACTTCAGGAGGCTCTGCTTTCTTGAAAATGCAATAGCACCATGTTATTTTTGTTACTGTAGTCACTAGTTAAGAAAAATATTTTAGGACACTATATTACTTAAGACAACACTCGCATGAAATGAAATAAATCTAAAAGATTCTTGAATATTTTAAGGAACAGAGGTCTACCTTAAGAGATGGCTTTTTAAATTTTACATTTAAATGTCCTCAACACATTTTAAATATGACATGGACACCACTTACCTATAAGAATACCTCTACAATTATGTAACAAAACATTAAAGGTTCTGATCATATTATCACATTTATATACATCATGTATACAGGGGGAGCCAGTTACTGTATTGCAATTAATGTTACATACTGAAAGTTAAGCTCATCAGAACAGCAACCACAACATAAATAGATATTTTAAAACCAAATGTTGTAAGTACTATTGGAACTGCATCAAAGTGCAATGATTTTAATTTACATATTTTGAAATAATTCTGTGAAGCACATTTTTGAAAGACAATTCCTAAACTGATGTGGATAAAAGATCCTTAAGATGTATATTGCTTTAGATGTTTTTAAAATTTAGACCTTTGAAACCATTAATTGCATAACATTAATTGCTGGCCAATTAACTATAATATTACTTTTGAAGGGGACACACCTAAGAACTTCCAAAACCAAACTGCAACATCTAAACATCTAGCAATGCCCATATACTGGCAACAAAAGGTAAAACATGCTGAAGGCAGCTTATTTAAAAATTTTATCATGATGGTCATGGCTTTACTATAAGAAGCATACAATAAATAAAGATGAGGAGGGGCTAGATTTAGATGCTTCAGCTAAGGCCAGAAAATTAATGGTGTTTTGTATCATCTTTGCCAATTTGAGTTTCCCAGCTAAATCAGAATACTTAAACATCTGCAGACTTCAGAACTGCACTGAGATACTAACAACAGTGAAGAGACTAAGTTTACAGTTCACAATCTCTGTGACTAAATACTTCAGAATCAGTTCTATTTGATCAAAACACCTGCAAAGCTCAATCTGGCAAATAGACCTTCGTACAGGCCTTGTAGCAAAAGAAACCGCGATTAATTGGTTGTTGCTTGTGTTGAAAGCAACTTTATTTAATCTAAGGAAGGATATTTTTTTTTACTTGGCAACCATAAATCTAACAAATTAAACTACACTTGCCAGGATCATGCAGTTTTTGACTTGCAAATATCATTCTTTCTTTATTATTTTTATATTTATGTTTATATTTTATATATTTTTTATTTTAATGTACATTTTTAAAATCTATTTTGTGATAGGCACCAAGAGTGGCATTTTCAAAACCTCCTCAGCCCAACTCAGCTCAAAGCAACACTGCTGCAAGTTTTCCACCATTTTCTGATTAAAAGATGGCTAGAAATGTACTATATATGAAAAATCTTATCCCAAACCCTTTTAGTCAGATGTAGAAAATAAGAGGAGGTGTGGGAGAGAAGATGAGTCAATACAAAAAAAAGGAAAGACTGACTCAGCAAAGTATTTCTGAAGATCTGATGTGGTAACTATAAAGAACTTGGCACCAAAGCACAATAATGGAGGGATAAAGAACACATGTTAAGATGATGCCAGGATTCACAGCAGTGCATGAATAAAAATGCCTTTGGTTTCCTTTATCAAAAGATTAATGATTTTCTTTAATTTGAAAAAAAATATAAGAAGGTTATTGATGAGAACAGCACCCCTATGTAGGGCAGAAACTCTTCTGAATGGATTCAACAGGAGTGCATAGCTACATATAATGAGCAAATTATATGTTATAATTTATATTATAATTGTTATATATTATATTGCAACAAAGCAATACATAAAGACAGCATGTCATGAATGGAGCTAGTAATATATTACACTATGAAAACCTTAAAAAAAAAAGTCTATTATACGTTAGTCAATACTGCTATTTTTTTGTTTGTCTGTTTTGGTTGTTTCTTATTCCCCTAAGTTTTCTTGATATGTTTATGATTTTTAGAGCATGGGAAATGCTGTTCTCTTTTTACCAATACATTACTAACCTGCTGTATCTACAAAAGCTAATGGAAGAAATAAACCCAGCTTTTAAATGTTGCATGTATTTTAAAAATGGTATGGAAATCAAGATGGAATCATGTAACATGAAATTAAACTGGTTTTATGGTTTGTAGGTCAAGTCTGGCTCAAATATAATCGTGGGTAATTTTCTACACGCTTAGAAAATAACTGCAGTTGATTACATTTGAAAACTTCAACTGCAAACCCAATCTTTCTTTTGATGCTTTCTTGTTTTTCGAGAGTGAACAAAAAAAATTAACTTACCTGAAAAACACAAATTGATAAAACATGACGGTCACACAGTAGCTAACAGCTGCCGTGACTGCATACGCTTGGAGAAATACTGCTAGCAGTTTGTGTCTCTAAAATGATTACTGATTTAACAGAAGCTATTCTATATGAAGTCAGCATAATATCAGATACTGGCTTAATCACAGAACTTTCACTATGGACTAAGACAATTCCTGCTGTTTCACACTTTTTAAAATCAGACCATATCTTGCTTGAGACAAAAAACACCCCTTACACAACACTATCCTGGAACATGTATAAAAGGAAAGTTTAAGCCTTTCATCAATCACAATCATGTAACTCATGCTTTTTTAGAGTTACAGTATGATAAAAATTGGTCTGCTACAGAAACTGATCATAGGCATTGCATGAAGAAGCATCTGCATGAGACTAAACTACTTGAACTACCTACCACCACTTACATACTTTACAGCCACTCCTTTGTCAGGACATCTCTCTCTCAGCATACATTGCTCATTGCAATGTCTCCCTTGTTATCTAGTACTGCAAAATTAGAACACAAGTTTTCAATAAGAGAACTTAAATCAGTATGCCTATTCTTTCATTGTACATACATAAGGAGGCCCATACATGTAAGGGCAACATACTAGTTGCTAGTGCAATTGCTTCTCATTCAGCTTTTGTCTATAAGGGTAGCACAAAGATAGCTCATGCCTTCAGATATAAGCATCCACTTGGAAAACTAAACAGTGAGCTTAGAGCACATCTATTGCACACATATTGCTTCATGACTACTTGGGAGGTATGATCTTAATCCTTGAACTGAAATAATCTAACTTGCATCTATTGTGGGACACATACATGCCTATAAACTTTTACTCTGAAGTGACTGATACAGTGTTAAACACATGCCTGACACATACAGCATCCTTGTTTTATACTTGCCAGTTTGTTTCATTTACCCTGTTCTTTTAATATGATAATTCATAGAGGTTAAGAAAATTGCTCCCTACAGTAGCAGGATGCTCTTATATTGTAAAGGCCCTTCTATTGCTTGAAGTGGGATG